CTCAAAAACTTTACTTTACCTCTCTGTGCCCCAATTTCCTTATCAGTAAAATGAGGGCACTAGCAGTTCCACCTCTTAGAGTTAATTAAGATAAAACCAAACCATTGCCAACAAGTTGATTCTGATTCATAGTGATCCTGTAGGACAGGGTAGAACTGTTCCTTAAGGTTTCCAAAACTGCAAATCTTTTCAAGAGCAGATTGTCACATCTTTTTCCCACAGAACAGTTCATGCATTTGAACTTGCAACTTTGCTGTTAGCAGCCCGACATTTAACCTATTGTATCCCCAGGGTCTCTTCATTGTGGTGTTGTAGTAGTTATTAAGTGTCATTGAGTCCGTTCCAACTCATAGCAACCCTGTATAGGGTTTCCAAGGAGTAGCTGGTGGTTTAAACTGCCAACCTTGCGGTTCGCAGACCAGTGCTGATCTGACAGCACCACACCATGAGTCATAGAAGTGAGATGAGATGATCAGCAGATGATAATGGTCTGGGGCAAGAAGGTACCAGGTCCTGCCATGCTGGAAGCTCACTGTCTGACTTCCACTCATCCTGCAGGCAGGATTTCAGGTGGGTTCAAGTCAGGGGACAGCAGAATGGAGATCCAGACCCACTTCCAACCTGACCTCTAATCCAACTGTGCAGCACCTATGGCCTGCCCTCAGGCACATGTGAGGAATCACCAATGCCCACTGCATGAGGGAGAATGCCACACTATTCACTGTCCTTGTTAAAGAGCCCAGATGATAAAGGTCACCAAGAGCTGAGGAAGACCAATTCCGGTCCTTCCCATCTCATTCCACCCTCTCCTTCCTCCGGGCATATGGCCACCTATATCAACAGATTTCAATGCAGGATGCAGATAGCAGGGTTCCCACTGACCAGCCAATGCACACTCCATGTTTCAGTTTGGGCTGAAATCTATACTGACCTGTCACTCTTCTTGGAAGGTAGCTTTTTTCAGGGAATTTCTTTTCTTTTTTGAGTGTTGTTTGCATACTAGATAACAAAGTTGGCAGACAAAATGTAAGGAGGGTTCTGCTTGCATAACAATGATTCAATGGTTAGCCAGGACAGCTGCCAACTCAGCTTATCTTTTGGTCCAATCAGGCCTCAGTAGAGGGAGGGTAGCCCTTTATTCAAAAGCATAAACTGATTCTGTCCTGGCAAATCACTCACTAGGACTTTCTGACCTCCACTGTAGACCAGAGAGAAGCAGTCCTGTTGTTGACACCTCCTAGGCAAGCCTCCAGGAAGCCCTGGGTGAGATCACACCCCACTGTCTCCTGGGGCCAAGGGTGGAGTCACCAGCTAGCTGTGTCACAGAGGGGAGAGATGTTCTAGCTCTGGACACTCACTGGTGGCAGAAATCACAGGAAAAGGCAGTTGCAACCTTACCTAGGCACTGGGTGTCCATGCAAATGGTTAACATGTCTGGCTGCTAACCAAAAGGTTGGAAATTCAAGTCCACCCAAAAAGGCCTCTAAAGACAGGACTGGTGGTCTAATTTAAATTTTAAAAAAAATTAGCCACTAAAAACTCTATAGAGCACAGTTCTACTCTGACACACACGGGGTCACCATTAGTCAAAATCAACCTGATAACAGCTGGTACCTAGGTCCCTGGGAAACTCAGGAGAGAAGATGGGTGTTAGGGAACTTGGGGATCCTGCAGAGCTTTAGGGTACCCTGCACTCCTATCACTGACTTGCAAACACCCACAGTTGGGGAATTGGATGAGGGTAGGAACACTGGCAGATGCTCACCTGGGGGCTCATGATCACCTGCTCTCCTGCAGAACACACCCTGACTATACCATTGTTTCCATCAAGTGCCAGCTTCTACTTCTCACCATCAACGTTTAATGGGTCCCTAGATGTTTGGGGTAGAACCCATTTTCTGCTAGCCTGACCCCCAAATCCTGGGGTTGGGAGGAACAGGTCTTGATGACCAGTAGGTGGAGGTAGGAGGAGGCCAGGCAAGTGCCTGGATGGACTGTGTCATGACACTGGTATCTACAGCTCCACCCATGGCCACTCCCGATTCTCCAGGAAATGTCATCCAGGCGGCTGTAGGATAGAAGGCAGTCACCCCACCCACCACGACAGCCTTGGACTAGCAGAAGCAATTATTCTACAAGCTCCCCAGCATGGACTGTTCTTCCCAGAACACTCATGGTCATGCCTAGAGTCTACCCTGTCAGCCCCCACAGAATCCACATGGATTTGGGGTTCCTCTAGCATAAATCTGAGCAGGGAGCAGGTGCCAGGCTCCAGCAGCCCTAGACAGGCCTCCAAGGACTCTCCTTCCTAACCTGACCCCAACACCCTCTAGACTTGAAGGAGGGGCCTTTGGGTGTAACTTCTTTGATGCTGGATGGTAGGAGTTTCCACAGAAGCTATCTGCAACAGGCCCACAAAGATCTTGGAAGGGCATTTATTGGGGCAAAAGGGTACTATAATTTCAGAAATACCTCCCTGAGTGAGATCACAGCTCCCCAGATGATACTGTGACAGTAAGTAGGCCAGGAACCAAGACTGTGAAATAGTCATCTTCCTTGACAAGCCATCCTTCCTGCAGAGGTAGATTTAGGCAAGGACTTGCATGAGCCCGGCACTTTCACATACTGAATCTGTAATTCTCACTGCAACCATGCACCATAGGCAGGATTTTGAAGCTGAAGGAAGAACAGAAGTCCAGAGAAGTTAAGTAACTTTCCCAAGGTCACATCTCTAGAGTCAGGATTTGAACCCAGGTGGTATCGTGGATTAAATGTAGGGCTGCTAACCATGAGGTCAGCGGTTTGAACTCTCCAGCTGCTCTATGGGAAAAAGATGAGATGTTTTGCTTCTGTTAATATTTACAGCCTTGGAAACCCTACGAAGCAGTTCTAATCTATCCTATCAGGTTGCTATGGGTTGGAAACAAGCCAATGGCAGTGGGTTTGGTTTTGGTCTTTCTGACAGCAGAACACAAGCTCTGCTATCTTGACAAGAGTAATCTGTTCATGGGGGTGGATGAAGACCTGAAGAGCTCCAAGACCAGTTGCACAATAGATGTCTGCAAGTATACTGCGCTGGTGTACAGAAGAGCCAAGCACTTAGGAGAGCCCGATGCAGCACCTGGATGGTGCATTCCTAAGTGGGTCACCTGGAATTACTCACAAGGAAGAGGCTTGCATCCTGGTTCCCACAGGATTTCTCCAAAGAGGTCGACAACACAGGCCCAGCTGAGTGGGTGAACTACATACACCTTAGTGTTTACTAGACTAGTTGTGGCACCTTTGTGTGGGCAGACTGTAAGTGTTCCCTCCAGACCAGATCTCAGGCCCCCATCTTCTACCCTCCTATGTCCTTCCTCTGTCAGCTTGGACATGCTGCTTGGCCTCAGAACCTCCCAACCCCAGAGGGAACAATATGAGTATGAAGTAGTTGATTCTCAGGCTTTGTTCCTGAAAGTCAATTGGTCATTTCCTCTCAAGAGGATGATGACAAGGGCTCCCCTCACCAAACTTGGGTCAACTGCAGAGCTTGGCAAGGAGGCACCTACAGCACCCCAGCTGTGGCTACCACTGAGGATCTTACGATGGCTGGGAAAGAAGGGTATACCAGAGACTCTGGGGGAAGCCATGTGTTATGAAGGTACCCAGTAAGTGGTCTCACAGGAAGGCTTCTACTACCCTGCACAATCCTATAACCAGGGAATTCTTTCCCATCAATGTAGTCAAGGAAGAAAGCTCATTCAGAATTCCATGCTCCCTATTTCCACCAAGTTAAATATAATGAATTAACCACTGTCATTCAGTCATCTCTGATTCATAGCAACACCATATGTGTCACAGTAGAGTTATGCTCTATAGGATTCCAAATGGCTAATTTTCAGAAGTAGATTGCCAAATTTTTCTTCCAAGGTACTTCTGGGTAGACTTGAACCTTCAGTCTTTCAGTTAGCATCCAAAAGTGTTAGCCATTTATACCACCCAGGAACTCTAAGGTTAAACATCACCATCAGGTCATGGTCAGAAGGAAATGGATTGAGGAAACCCAGTCTCTAGGATGCATTACACTTGGGTCATGCTTCATCCTCTGGAAAGCCAGGTAGATTCTAAGATACCACTCTTTCCCCCAAGGGAGTTGGCATGCCAATAGAGGCATTGCAGCAATGGTGATGGTGAGATAATTATGACAATGATAAGCACATTATTGACCGAGAACTTATTATGTACACATAATCTCATTTCATATGGTTAGGTTTTTTATTGCCTCCATTTCACAGAACATTGATGCTAAGAAAGGCAAGATAATTTGCACCAATGATTAAATAGCAAAAGCAAGATTTGAGCCCAAGTCTACCTGAATTTCTAGTCTGTGCTCTTAACCAGAATATTAGATTGTGTCCTTGTAGATGATCCAAGTTCGAGCTCTGAAGAACAGGGTCTATAGTATCATTGCCTTCGCCAGTCCAGGAATGCCCTAGGCTCCAGGTTGACAGTGGTGGCTTTCTGTGTTACTGTAAACAGGAGCTAAGTTCAGAGTGTATGACAGACAAGACGTGGTGTTACAGAAGGCCTAGGTACTACAGTCATAGGGCAGCAGGGGAGGCTTCTCATTAGCCAGATTGATCCTCCTCTAGCCAATCACAGGAAGTCTTGATGATGTCAGATGATCAAGAAGAGTGCTGCTGGTCATTCTCCCAGCACGCCTCTCAAAGTGGAGGGTGTCCTCATTCAAGCTGAATGAGATCACCCACTTTTGTCTCCATGCAGCAATGGATACTCCAGGAAGGGGATGTTCTCAAAGAGATGTTTGCTCTGCAATAGAAAGAGGACAGGACAGCTGCCCAGAGATGCAAAGCTGGGCAGAAGCAAGGGAAGCAGGTTTTCAAGCAAAGGTGGAGAACTCTCAGGAATCTCACCATAAACTCCTACCTGTCCCTAGGTCGATGATCAGCATGGCAGCCCCAAAGCAAACTTCCAGAACCAGATCTGTGGCAGCCAGGGCCATGTCGCTTGACCTGGCTCATCCTTTTGTTGGGCAGGCAGCACCCCAGCACCCCAAAATGTCTATTCCTTATAAGACATTCCAGTTCTACCAATTTAGCACCAAGAAACAAGAGGGCCAAGAAGATGATGGTGAGAAACAAATCTGCCAACAATGACGGAAACTCCAACCTCAGAGCCCTGATCTGACCCAGAGAGGTGATGGCAGAATCATAGGACGGGAGCTCAGAAGACTCCCTCCAGGACCTGATTTTGCCACACACGTCCCTCAGGCAAATCCTTTCCTTTCCTTAGGTTTCAGTTTTTCCATGTCAAAGAACTGAATCAGATAAATATTTTCCATAATTTGCTCCTTGGTCTCAGATAAATTTGAGAAGCACTGCATATGCTCAATTCTTTTTGGCAATTTTCTGAGCACATTCTCATATTAAGGGTTTGCCTTAATCTCATTTCATCCAATATATCTTAAACATCTCTGTCCACGGAGTACTCATATGTAATGCCTTCCACAGGGTATCCTGTGTAAACTGTTATTGAGAGAGATGGGTGACCTTCCCAGCATCCACCACTCATCCCATTGCAATCATTTGATTCCAATTCACAGTGACCCTACAGAACAGAGTAGAATTGCTCGGAGGCTGTAAATCTTTGTGAAAGCAGATTGCCTCGTCCATCTTCCACAGAGCAGCTGCTGGGTGCAACTGCCCTAGCTTTTTGGTTAGCAGCCCCATGCTTAACCCACTGCACCACCAAAGTCCTTTTGATGCTGTTGTTGTTGAGTGCCGTCGAGTCGGTTCCGATCCATAGCGACTCTGTATAGGGTTTCCGAGGAGCGGCTGGTGAGCTTGAACCGCCAACCTTGCAGTTCAAATGACTTTGCAGTCTGGCGCATTAACCCACAGCGCCATACCAGGACTCCTTGCAGTCCTTTAGTGGTGCATAAAAGGAGTCCTGGTGTGGCGCTGTGGGCTAATGCGCTGGACTGCAAAGTCAGTTTGCACGGTAAGGTTAGCAGTGCAACAAGAAAGGACTACAAATTTGAGCTGGATTCAAAAAGTTTGTGGAAACTTTTCATTATCTTCTAATTCCATTTCCCCATGAAGCCCCTTTGCAGCTAGCTCTCAAAGTTCTTGCAGTTGGATGACTAAAAAAGTGCCTTTCCACAATCAGGCAAGGTTTGAATTTCATCTGTGGTACATACCAGCTCTGTGACCCTGAGCGAGTCCTTTGACCTCTTTGAGCCTCAGTTTCTATCATAGGTAAAGTGGGAATAGTGACTACACTGTCCTCAGCGCGGGGAGTGCTGGGAGGAGTCTGAGGTTAGGCAGGCAAAGCACACACGGTGGGGCTCCCGTCTTCTGAGAGAGGCTACTGCAGGAGTCTCTGGTCCCTCAGGGTGAATGAGTTTAGTAGTCCTTCTCCAGAGCAGAAAGTGGGCCAGGGGCAGCACTGGGCACGCAGGAGTCGGCGTGAAGTGGCCGAGCCCCATTCTGCTGCCACCCTGGGCCAGCCCTGGTAGGCGCACAGGTATTCCGAAAGGTAAATCAGGCCAGGCTGCAGCTTGACTTGGTTCCTCTGCCTCAGAGCCAAGGCGGGGGCAACCAAACTGGTTTGTCAGGGCCACCAGTGGCACCTGGGTCCTCCTCCTCACCCCCATCTGGAAGAAGCAGCCCCTGCAACCACACTGCAAGGAGGCTTACCTTACTATATCTCCCTGAAGCCCAGACCCTCATACAAGGAGAGAATGAAAGAGGGCTCTCTGGTCCTAACCAAATGCCTTTTTGCCCTGATTCTGGAGCTGTCTGGTATTGCCATGGCAACCTCCTCCACCTCTTCTCATTCTCCTCCTCCACTCCTGTGCCTGTGGTCCCCTGTGCAGGTGCTGGCCTCCAGGGAGTTGAGGACCTTCTTCAGGAAGTTCCCAGCAGCCAATGCAAATGAAGACAACTCCCTATTATTGAAGAGCAACTTGCAGGCACAGATCTGTCTGTCCCAGTTGCCAGAGGCTTCTCCCAGAGACTTAATCCTTGGCTTTCTGAGTCATCCGGGAACTTCTCAACCTGGGGCTCATAGAGAATAGTCTGGAGGCCAACAAAGTTTGTCTCCAGCCAGCTTTGCACCATCATTGCTGGCAGCTAGAACTGGCACCATCTTGGGACTAAAATTTGCAATTCATCCATAGTGCTCCTTCCCTAGAGTCCCTAAGTGGCACACACAGTTAAACACTTGTCTACTAAGCAAATGGTTGGACTTTCACCTGAAGGTGCTTCCGGAGAAGGGCCTAGCTATCTGCTTCTGAATGGCCATGACCTTGAAAATCATATGTACAGTTCTATTTTGAGACACTAGGGGTCATCATGAGTTGGAATCAACTTGGTGGCAACAGTTTTGACTTTTATTTGTTTGCTCCTTCTCTAATAACCTGGGACAAGATCTGCACTTGTGTCATATCATCACACCTGGCTGAGGTCATACCCATGCCCATCCTTGGGTGACCATCAGATGCTAAAGTAGCTGGAGACATGCTTACTGATGGCACTTTGCATAACTGTGTCTCACAGGTCACCACCTTGATTCAAGTTTGGGTTCTGTGTGGCTGCTGAGGGTTTAGTGAGAGAAGACCAAGTGCTAGCCTTGCTAAACATGTCAGACATGGCCATCTGCAGGATGCAAGTGGCCCTGCCTGTCTCACCTCAAGTCACACTGTCAGCCAGGCTAGACGAGGAACATAGAACCTTCCAGCAAGGTCAGCTCCACAGAGCGCCAGAGAAGGTGCAATGTGTTAACTCATGGAAAACCAGTTGCCCCGACTTAGAGCCAGAGATGGCAAACATCATAGCCTCCTCCTCTCTGAAGAAGAGCTATGAGCTTCCCAATGGCCAAATGATCACCATCAGTTCCAGTGTCCCAAGGCACTCTTCCAGCCCTCCTTCGTTGGTATGGATTCCTGTGGCACCCACAAGACCACCTTCATAAAATATGGCGTGGACATCAAGAAAGACCACATAGACCTGGGTTTCACAGACAGAACGCAAAATGAGATCATTGCACTGGAGCCCAGCATACTCCCCCGGAATCAAAGTACTCTGGATCAGCGATTCCAGCCTGGCCTCGTCATCCACCTTGCAGCAGATGTAGATCAGCAAGCAGGAGCACGGCGAGTCAGGCCTTCTCATCTTCCACTCCAAATGCTTCTAGATGGGCTGTCAGCAGGTGCCACTACCTGCTGCATGAACTCTTTCCTGAATACAGGTTTGTCCTGCAAACCTACACACTTCATGCTAGTCTATCCAAAACTGGAAGGAGCTTTTGAAAATAATTTGTCCTTAAAGCCTGTATCTCCATATCAGTGCTGATTCATAGAACTTATTGCTGATCTTGGTCTTGTATTCAAGTTAGCTTGTCCCTTTGTTGTTAAATGCCATCCAGTCGGTACTGACTCACAACAACCTTATGCACAACAGAACGAAACACTGCACAGTCTTGGGCTAACCTCACAATTGCTGTCATGCTTGAGCCCACTGATGCTGCCACTTTGCCAATCCATCTCACTGGGCGTCTTCCTTTTTCTCTGATCCTCCACCTTACCAAACATGATAGCCTTTTCCAATGACTGGTCCCTCCTAACAATATATCCAAAGTATGAGAGGCAAAGTTTGGCCATCCTGGCCTCCAAGGAGCACTCTGGCTGCACTTCTTCCAACACAGATCCATTTGTTCTTTTGGCAGCCCATGGTACTTTCAACATTCTCCTCTAACACCATAACTCAAATGCATCAACTACACTACCAGAGCTCTTTCGCATGCATATGAGGTTATTGAAAATACCGTGACTTTGGTCAAGTGCACCTTAGTCCTCAAGCTGACATCTTTGCTCTTCAACACTTTAAAAAGGTCTTATGCAGCAGATTTCCCTAATGCAATACATCATTTGATTTCTTGACTGCTGCTTTCTTGAGTGTTAATGATTGATCCAAGAAAAATGAAGTCCTTGACAACTTCAATCTTTTCTCCATTGATAAGAATGTTGTTTATTGGTCCAGTGGGGAGTATTTTTGTTTTCTTTACATTGAGATGCAATCCATACTGGAGGCTGTGGTCTTTGATCATCATCAGTAAGTATTTTAAGTCCTCTTCACTTTCGGCAAGCAAGGTTGTATCATCTGCATATCGCAGGTTGTTAATGAGTCTTCCTCCAATCCTGATGCCACATTTTTCTTCATATAACTCAGATTTTCAGATTATTTACTCAGCATACAGGTTGAATACGTTTGGTGAAAGAATACAACCCTATCGCACACCTTTCTTAATTTTAAACCATTCAGTGTCCCCATGTTCTGTTCAAGCAACTTGGTCCATGTACTTGTCCCTTGGTTGTGTTAATACCCTGCACATATCTTTAATTTAAATCTCTAGTATTTATCCACCCTCCTCCCCCTGTCTCTGGGATTCCTTTATCAGATGTCCTGTCATCCCCCATTAGACCACCACCATCCATTTGGAGCATTCGTCTGATCTCTCACTTCTCATGTTAACACCTTTGAATGTCTCCACTCACATCTGCTGTGGCTCTTTACTTTCCTTTTAGGAATTTGATGATTCTCCCCAGAAACATATGCACACAAAATTCTGAATACAATTCCCTGAGGAGAGAAAAAGGGAACTGTCAATCTTGACTCTGATTTTTGGATGCCTTAAGGTTCCATGAATTCTAGTTAAAAGCTCCTAGTTACCATGATAAAGTCTAGATCTTTCACATGGCATAAATTAAAAAAAAAAAAAAAACAGTTGCTATTGAGCTAACTCTTACCTATGGTGACCCCATGTGTTTCAGAGTAGAACTGCTCTGTAGGATCTTCAATAGCTATAATCTTTTGGAAGTAGATCTCCAGGCCTTTCTTCCAAAGTGCCTCTGAGTAGATTCAGAATGCCAACTTTTAGGTTAGTAGCCGTTCTATTAAAGGAATCCTAGAAGGTGAGGAAGGTGGTTGTTGTTAGATGCCATTGAGTTGGTTTTGACTTAACAGAACCAATCACTACCCAGTCCTGTACCATCCTCATAATTGTTGCTATGTTTGAGTCCATTGTTGTGGTCACTGTGTCAATCCATCTCACTGAGGAGCTTCTTTTTC